CTCACCAGCTTAGCGAGCTTAGTGCAGGCAGTTGTTGACCAGAGGGTTGATCATAAACATATATACATGGTTAGGAGGATGCTTGAGAGAAGTGCAGCGCTACATCTGTAGCTTAGCAGTAACTGTGACGTTGTAAGACACTGCAGGTGTAAGAGACGCTGTGTGTTAAGATGCATTAAAGTTTAAATGTCTTTAAAACCCCACACCTTATTGTCCTCAAGCTTTGTGAGCAACATTCTTTAGATGAGTAGTGTTGAACACAAGTAAAAAAGTCGAGTGGTGATGTTTTTTATTTCTCTATAAACACAAATAGTGCTGACCTGACGCTCTGTATTAAAGTGCATTAAAGTTAAAATGTCTTTAAAACCCATAGCTGAATAAACTTGGTGAGAAACATGTTTTAAATAATAATAATAATAATAATAATAATAATAATAATAATAATGATAATAATAATGTTATCACATTGTCATCATTGTATGTTTCTATACAATGGCAAAATTACTCTCTGCATTTAACCCATCCACCACCAGGTGGTGCAGTGGGCAGCTATTGAGGGTGCCCGGGGGACATTTGGGGGATAAGGTGTGCTGCCCAGAAACACCACAAGGTATGCAGTGACCGGGGATTGAACCTGGGACTTTCGGGTCCCGAGCCGGCTGCCCTGCCTCTACACCATGTCGACCCCCATAAATGGAATTAAAGTAAGGAAAACTAGATGAAATGTTGCTTTTCTGTACACTAGTGTACACTTTTTTGCACAATGGTGTGCGTGCATGCGCGTGAGCGCACACACACTATAGTGTCCCCCACCCCCCCACACATTACAGATGCTTCTGATGCCCATGGCTCCACCCCATCAACAAAACCGAGCGCCTTGCCTACCGAACCCCCACCCCCCAATCAACAACTATCAGTATTGATGTAGCGCGGGGTACAATACAAGGGCGCTAGTAAAAATGCTACTGACGTACCACTCCGCATCCCCAACCCCTCAATAAAAACCGGCAGCAATGTGGCGCTAAGCTAGCATGTGGGGAACACAGACAGGACGTCCTCCTTCATCCCCCACCCCCGTTGACAACAATAAAATACCAAGGAAAACATTGTTAAGGATTCTTCATTTGTACAGTATATGGTGATGTACCCTGCATAACTGCATTAACCTATATTGCACAATACAACTGTACATTTTTTGTCATTACCTTACTCTGATGACTTGCTCTGAATGGAATCAGCCATGGACAGTAACTGCTGATAGGCAGCCTCAAGCCCGTTTCTAAATGATCATCAGTCACAGTGGAATGGTATTTGGACTTAATAATTTTCAGGTGGGAAAAGGCTGACTTACAGAAATAAGTGTAGCCGAATAATGCAAAGGGAGGAAACAAATTACCTCATGTTGGGGTACTTTTCCTCTGTGAGTAAATTCCAGAACTGTCCATTAGCCCTGGCCTTGAGCTGAATGTCAGCTTGTAGTGTCAACATCTTATCCTCTACTCCAGTAAAGTTTAAGAGAAACAGTGTTTCCAACTTTGATGTCAGTGACGCAACCTCAGCATCTTCCTGAAAAGGGTAACACATGAATGTAGCAACTGGCTCCAGTATAACAAGTCTCAAAAGTGTTTGTCAGTCTCTGACAGACAGTTCTCAATCTGCTCTGTGTAGCATGCACTGTCAATTTTCACACATGCCTCCCCGTTCATCTCAAGCTCTGAGGTTCTTGAAGTTAGCCAAATCATGTCACTGCAGCTTTGAGGCAGAATGTTGCACTGAACTGACAGTATGGTTTTGTCTTTTCCTTGCAGCTATACATTAAGGTAATTCAACATGTTGGTCAAATCAGTTAAAAATGCTAAATTGAAGTCTAACTAGACAACTCGGTAGCTCACTAGTTTTTGCACAGTTGTGGTGACCGATCGATGTATTGGGCACCCCTGGTATAGAGTATTGAAACTCACCAAGATAAATCAAAACAACTCCATTTAATTTTCTGTGTTTTTTATCTTTTTTCATGAATTTGAGTGTTTATGGCTTAAAACCAAACACTGAACTGAACCAGGTTCATCCTCACACATCATGACTTATAGCATACCTAAAAAACGATCAAACAACCTCAGTCCAATGTAAACTGTAATGTTTCCAACTTTTTTACACGTAGATGTAAACATGCATCTTTGACTGCATGCTTACAAGATGCACTGACAGTTGAGGTGTATAAAATGCATGTGAATAGTCTAAAGGGCACTTCCAGTCTCACTGAGAAAAATAATGAGATGATAGTGTCTGACACGAAAGTGTCTGATAAGCATATTAATTCAGAACAAGTCGTGTGATGATTCCTCAGGTCAACAAGGTGTAGACAATGACACATGCCCATAAATTGCTGTATTAAATGTTCATAACTGTGGGACAAAAGTAGCATTTGCACTACAGGGTGTTGTTATGAGTGAAAGAATAAGGAGAGTGTTTTCGGGTATCACACTGACCTGTTGGCGCACAGCATTGTCAGTGTCATGACGTTAAAGGCCTCACCACACTGGGGTTCTTTGCAGTCAGAGATTTTCAGACGGATCTGCCTGACAGGCCAGGCATTTCACAGTCGTCTCTGGGCCGTGCCATGCTAGCTGTATGGGATGTTCTCATCTGTATGATGCCCAGATATATCAAATTCCCGTACACCTCTGCTGAAATGCACCATCAAGGGACTCACAGAGACTCATTTTCTTAACATCAACTATTTGATCAATAAGTTTCTAAGGCCTACCATGTGCTGCCAATTGTTTATAGTAATTATGTTATTAAACACACATTTAAAGTTGGAAATGCCTCAGTCTCAGAAGTGAGATCTACACCCCCAGATCACTTCATTAATTTACAATAATAGTGTGTAATTCATGCACAGTAAATGGAGTCTAAAGATATGGAATGAGAAACAATTGGCACCCATTCTTTGCTTTACTCTCACCTTAATGTCTGACCATTTAACCTTTTTATTACTTCTGTTGGTGTGCACTGCTCTGAGAACGGCAGGGTCACACACACCTTCACTCCTCTTTACGCATGTAGCAGATCCTAAAGAACAGTATACTAAATACGTTTTTATGTCCCACTACCTTATTAAGGAGTGTTTCTGACTCACATCCCATAAAATCCCTTATTTTCCTACATTTAGAAAATTTTTTGATTGTGCAAAGGGGAGAATTATGCATGCGGTACATATTTGCATCTACTCGCATCTTTAAATAGAGGTGAGTAGATGGGGAGGAGTTTTATGTACACTGTTTCATTTCCGTTGGGGTGTATGAAGAAATGGTGCACAGAAACACATGCACGGACACTGATATATATGAATACCTCGGTGTGCACATAATTTTCACATTGCACTCTTTTATGCTTGTGGCCCCAGAAGTCTGCAAAGTACAATTCCCTAATTCAACAAACTTTAATTTACAAATACTAATGTAAGCAAAGAACAGTGAAATAAACAGACCTATCAAACTAAACATAGTCAGGCTTTAGAATCTTGACCAAACAATATGCAGTGGTATCAGTCATTTAAATAAATCATCAAGTCTTCCTGTCGTCCAATAATATAAGTGATTAATGAAGCAAAGGTTTGTTGGGTTGTACCTTTCAGCCTCATGTGCAGCTGCTTATGTCTCCTCCTCATGTTCCTTCATCACTTGTTGGTGATGAAGGAACATGAGGGACATGGAATATGGTGATGAAGTTGATGAAGGCAAGCACTCAGCTTTAACTCTCATTGGGTGCACTTATTCTTAATTCACCAACACATGACCTGGGGTGCCATCTACCAAAGAGTGTGCAGCTTTCATACTGAAAGTTGGTAAGAGCTGCTGCCTCTCAACAAGAAAGTCACCAGAGCAAATCCTGGCCAGGGGGCCATTCTGGGTGGAGTTTGCGTGTTCTCTCTGTGCATACGTGGGTTTTCTCCAGGTACACCAGTTTCCTCCCACAAACCAAAAACATGCATGTTTGGCTAACTGGCAACTCTAAAATTTCCCTAGATGTGAGTAAGAGTGAATGGTTGTTTGTCTCTATGTCCCTGTGATGGACTGGAGACCTGTCCAGGGTGTCCCCCACCTCTCGTATAGTGACTGCCAAATATGGGCACTAGTTACCCCT